ATCCTGGTCGATGGAGTAGTGGCTGTTTTCATAGTGGAAGTCTGTCGGTTTTATTCGCCTGGTACCTCTTATATGAAAAGCTGGACATTCAGCATTGAAGCACTCTTTCCTGTCCAAAGAGTTCTTGCAAATTTCTGGGTGAAAGAATTCACAGCTTTTGGTGCATTTACCTGTATTGAGGAGGTTTCTGCACTTTCTAGGGTGATCGTATTTACATGTTCCATTTGTTCTTCCCGATTCCCCATGCTTACAGGTAGCCCATTTGTAATACCAGCAGATTTTGGGGCCTTGTTTTGTTTGTTTCCCTTTGCCAGGGACCGCACTCTGCTGCGGCGTCCCCGACACTGTGCTCTGCTCCGGGGCCTGTGACACCGCGATCTGCTCCGGCGCCGTTGACACTGCGCTCTGCTCAGGGGTCCCCGACTCCGCGCTTCGCTCAGGGGTCCCCGACTCCACGCCCTGCTCAGGCGTCCCCGACTCCGCGCCCTGCTCAGGTGTCCCCTGAGCAGGGCGCAATTAATTTACAAATTAATTGTAATTCCTGTACCCAGGTGGTCCCTCCCAACGCTCCCTTCCCACCCTCCTGACACCACCCATCCACCCCACCCCCTCCTCCACCATGCGCCTCGAGCCACAGCCAGATGGATTAATACAATACGGCCCACCCCATGGCTTTCATATCCGAACAATTCAATGCTTATCCGGCTGACTGTCCGGATAGTGTAACATCGAGAGCAAGTTAACCGGCTCCGATTTTTTATCCGGCTAAATCAGCTTTTATCCGGCTAAATCAGCTTTTATCCGGCTAAATCAGCTTTTATCCGGCTCCCACGGACATTTTGGTTGGATATTGAGATAACTTTATCCGGTCACGATTTTGGCCATATAAGGGTGTTTTCCGGATGTTCGAATCCTGGATAATCGAGTTTCTACAGTAGACCCATAATATTAGAGCAATAAATGGAATTTTAACAAATATTTTAAATTTTGGATGCACATCATCACAAAATTATTTATTCCAGTGTTCTGGCATCAATTGTCGTGTTACATTGTTCATTTTGGTATCAAATTATTCACAATCTAAAGACGTGCATTTTAAAACTAGTCCCATAAAAATAGCACAATAAATAGAATTTTAACAAATATTTTAAAATTAGGACCAAAAACGTATTTATAATCTTTCCAGTGTTCTGACATCAATTTTCATGTTACATCTTTCATTTGGGTATCAAATTGTGTGCACTCTAAAGGCGCTCATTTTAAAACTACTCTCAGATTGATTGGATAAAATTAAAATTTTTAACATATTTTAAAATTTGGACGCCACTCGCATCACCGACTCTGACTCAAGAGAAAAATTCTGGACACCAGGGCCGTTACAAGAGTGCAAAAGTGTTAATGGAGTGCTAAGTTTGCTCCTGCCCTTCCTCGGGATGTGGGTGTTGTGCAGCTTCACATGCAGGTTCCCTCCCTTTCAACTGCGCTGGTTGCTGAGGACTTGCATGCTCGTGGCCTGTTGGCTTCAGCCTTGCGTTTCTTTTCCCCCCTGGAGCTGTCTGCCGACTGGTTTGAGGAGGATGTGGAGGCGCTTGGGGCCATTCCTAGGTCTAGTGCCTTGGGCTCGGCAGCTCGTTCGTCGTCTGTCTTGTTGAAACTGTTTGCGCCGATTCTGCGGAATGAGGTGTCACTGTTTTATGCCTCCCGGCTCGCATGTTGGCAGGCGGTGCTGGCTTCCTCCTTGGAATCTGCTTGGGATTTGGCTCTTAGAATGTCTTTGCCTTTTTGTCCCTTGCTGTTTGCTGATTCTGCAGTAACGCAGTATCTGCACGCGGCCTTAACTAGCTGTCGTCCGATGTCTGACTTACTGATTCTCCGCGGGTCCCGCGGGGGGCCTTCCCTGAGGGGTTGTGCCAGGACTTGGGGTTCTGTTCATCTTGGTAAGCCACTGGTGTCAGTTTCGAAGTCGGCGCCGTCTTCGGACCCATCTTTGTTTGGTCGGCACGGTGTTTGCTCTGTGTGGAGCTCAGGCTCTCGTACAGGGCGTCGGTCCTTTCACAGTTCGTCCCATTGACCGGGCATTGGGGGGGAGGCTTGCTCTGGTCGCTCACTCCTGGTCCCACGATTTGTGGGCTTTTCGAGTTATTTCCGACGGCCTGTGGTGGCGTTGGGTGTCAATGCGTCCTTGGGGGGGGGGGGGTTTGGGGGCTCGCAGCGCAGGCCTCTTCTCCTGCGCTCTGTCGGGTCATGTTGGAGTGGGTGCGCTTGGGCATGGACGAAACGACGATGTTTATCAGATGAGATTCCCGTCTGTTCCCAGTCCCGAAACGGAACTGTGTGGACCTGCAGTTCATTCTGGACTAGTCCCATCTAAAACCCTGGGTTCGTTGCCCCTTCTTTCGGATGACCACTCTGTCCCAAGTCTGGCTTCTGTTGGAGCCGGGTGTTTGGATGGTGTCCCTGGACCTCCGGGATGCATATTGATTCGAGAGCTTTCAAATCCAGGGACCCATCACAATGGTTGTACTCTTCAAGTCACTTGTGTTGTCCCGTCTCGAGTAATGCTCAGTACTCACTTTCCCCTTCAGAGCAGGAGAGATTGCTCAAATAGAGGGAATACAGAGAACATATATGGCATGCATGGACGAGATAAAACACCTAAAATATTTGGATCATCTCAAAGCTCTCCAAATGTATTCATTAGAAAGGAGATGAGAGAGATACCAAATAATATACACATGGAAAATACTGGAGGGGCAGGTCCCAAATCTGCACAGTAAAATAACAACGTACTGGAGTGAACGATATGGAAGAAAATGCAGAATAGAACCGGTCGGCCGAGCGGATAGCACGCGGGACTTGTGATCCTGGGTTCGATCCCAGGCGCCGGCGAGAAACAATAGGCAGAGTTTCTTTCACCCTTTGCCCCTGTTACCTAGCAGTAAAATAGGTACCTGGGTGTTAGTCAGCTGTCACGGGCTGCTTCCTGGGGGTGGAGGCCTGGTCGAGGACCGGGCCGCAGGGACACTAAAGCCCCGAAATCATCTGAAGATAACCTCAAGATAACCAGTGAAGAACAGAGGTGCAATAGGCACAATCAGAGAACACTGTATAAACATCAGAGGTCCGCGGCTGTTCAGCGTCCTCCCAGCGACTATAAGAAATATTGCCGGAACAACCGTGGACATCTTCAAGAGAAAACTAGACTGTTTTCTAAAAGACGTTCCGGACCAACCGGTCTGTGGTGGGTATGTGGGCCTGTGGGCCACTCCAAGCAACAGCCTGATGGACCAAACTCTCACACGTCAAGCGTGGCCTCGGGCCGGGCTTGGGGAGTAGAAGAACTCCCAGAACCCCCATCAAGCAGGTATCAAGCAAGCAGGCAGTGTAATGTTTCCTGGCGGATCTTTCGTTTCTCTCACTTCGTAGGTATTTCTCGCTCTCGGTTCGGGTTGTCTTGTCCTTTCTCTCGTGGTTGTTTCAGGACCGTCATCATATGCCGAATACTGTCGCCTTGTATCGTGCAGCGCTGGTGGAGCCACTGCAGCTTGTTTTCGGTATTGATGTTACTTCAGCGCCGTTTAGCGAGCTGTCTTGTGCGTTGTTTCATCTCCGGCCTGCTCATGCGCTGCTTGAGCCATCCTGGTCTTTGGATCGGGTGCTTTCTTTTCTCTCTTCTCCTCGGTTTGTGGTGGCCGCTTCGGTCCAGGATATTTTTTCTAAGGCTCTTTTTTCTTGTTGGCATTAGCCTCTGGGGGTTGGGTCGGAGAGCTTCGTGCTCTCCTCCGGCGCAGGGATTTCTGCTCTTTTGGTCCTTGTAATAGGTTTGTTCACTTGCAGCCGTCTTCATCTTTTCTGGCAAAGAATGAGACGGCTGCTCTCTGGAGGGGTCCTTGGGTTGTTAATGCTTGGTTGGTCAGGCCGGGGGTGCATTATGTGTTGCGTCCGGTTGCGGCTCCCCTCCTTTATTTAAGCGCCATGGCTTCTGTGTTCGGAGATGCACTTTGGGTTGATCCGGTTCGTTCGTAAGTTTCCTGCTCTTGCTACCGTCTTTGGCAACATGTCATGGGCTGACATTCGGGTGCTGATGTTGGCGGTCGAACAGGGTCCTGGCTGTGCATTACCTCGTGAATGTTCCTGGGCCTTCTTGGGCCTGTGTCGCTTTGGGTTGACGGTTGCAGCCAGTTGTCTCAGCTTCGGTTTGAGGAGTTTCGCTTTGAGGAGTGAGCAACGACCGTCTCCCAGGTAAGTTTCCTCTTGTTTCTGTCTTTTGGTAAGTAGCTCCAGGGTGCCGATGGGGCTCCCCCAAGAAAACCAGCGTTGAATATAATGAAACTCCATTTTCTGGGTGAGACCCGGAGGCTCCCCGGCAACCCTCCCACCCTCTAGTCGGTGGTTTTTCGCGTGTTTTTTATTTTCAGCCTCAGAACTGGGGTCTTGAGTAGCCGGTGCGAGGGGTCTGGGGCTCCCTCTTTCCACTCCCGGGGAGGGGGAAGCTGAGCAGACTGTGGTGCAGTGACGTAGTAACGTCATGCTCGTTTTTGTTTGGGGAGTTCTGTCCACTAGTTCAGCTCTCAGCAATTTCTTAACTAGAAAAGGGGTTTATTTTGGGATGCTTACCTTTCTGGGTATCTGACCCGGTTGATGGCAGACACTGAATGCTTCAAACCACATGTGCATTTCTATAAGCCATTGCTCCTTGTGCCTCTCTGAGGGGGGGCCAGGTTCTAGCTTGTGGGATTACGTCTGCCATGGGGACTTAAGGGATTAAGAGCCAACAAGATACGTTATATCATAAATATAATATTCACAGATGCCATGCCGGTAGGGGAATATGCTTATTTATTAATGCATAGGTTAAAAAATAAAAGACACCATGATTTTGTATACTCATGGATGATCATTTAAATAAAGTATCTATTAGAATTGTTGAGGTTTCCAAGTTTTAGGTACTTGCTGGTAACATGTACTGTACTGGGAAATCTTTAATGTATTTTATACAGGAAGTGCTGGATCAGCCAAGTTGTAGTGGATATATGGGCATCCGGGTAGCTGCAAGCAACAGCCTGATGGAGTAAGTTATCACCATGCAAGCATAGAGATACCTCTACAATTATCAAGGCCATTGAGAACACTTGAAGGGGCAGCGGGCGATAATTCCATCCAGGTGGGTGAGATTTTATTTATTATTATGAACCTTGTTTTTCTCTACTGATTATCTTGTTAACCCTTAGCACTATCGGTCACTTTGGACCAGACTCTCATCCATTATTTTTTTCCTGAATCCTAGCTTTGGACCGGACTTGCGTCCACTACAAAAAATATTTGTATAAAATTCATTTTTTATCGAATCGACCTCGGGATAGTATCAAAATAAGCGCCTTTAGAATGCGCACAATATGATACCAAAATGAAAGATGTAACATGAAACTTGATGTCCGAACACTTATATGATTATACAGTGGCGCCTCGACATACGATTGCCCCTACTTATGATAATTTCGAGTTACGATATAAATTTCATCGAAAAATGCGACTCGACATCCGATATTTTTTGGTACACGTTCGGGTCGGCCGAGCGAGTGGTTCCCGGTCACGCGGTCTGACCTGCCTCAGTTTACTACAGCTGCCCGCTTAGTGACGATCGCGCCTATAAGAAATTCCGCTTTTGTGGTGATTTTTTGCATTTTGAACATTAAAGTAATTATTATATAATATGCCATGAGTCCCAGGAAAGTCAGTGGTAAGGCTCAACATATGAGATCCCATGTAAGAATGACCATAGAGCAGAAACAAGAGATCATTCATAAATATGAAGATGGTGTGCAGGTAGATGAACTGGCTAGGCAGTACAACAAATCTCAGTCAACGATATCCACCATACTAGCTAAGAAAAAGGACATTATGGGTGCTAAAGTGGTGCATCATTACAGACAAATGTTAAAACGAATGGAAAAACAAATGTCTCTTGACAAATTTGTAGTGAGAGAAACAAGAACTGAACCACAACCAGGTCCTAGTGGTATTCAGCCAAAACGTAGGAGAGAGAGAGTACCCAGAGAAAACATCACTGCCTGATGTGATAATGGAAGGGAACTCCCCTTCCAAACAGTAACAACTCTCCTCCTCCCCCAACACCATCTTCCATACGCTATCAAGAGCCCTCCATAAAGGTAAGAGTCACTTTGGTACTGTATTGTAGTTAGAAAAAACATTGTACAGTAATCAGTATAAAATGTATTTGTATGTTAATATTTTGGAGGGTGGGGAACGGATTAATTCAAATCCCTTTATTTCTAATGGGAAAATTCGCTTCGACTTCCGATATTTCAACTTTTGATCCGTCTCTGGGAACGGATTAGCATCGGAAGTCAAGGCCCCGTTGTAAATAGGTTTTTGGTCAAAAATTTAAAATATATGTTAAAATTCTATTTATTGTGCTATTATGTTGGGACTAGTTTTAAAATGTGCGCCTTTACGTCGCGAACAATTTGATACCAAATGAAAGATGTAACACAAAAATGTATGTCAGAACACTGGAAAGATATAAATGATTATGATGATGAGCTTCCAGAATTAAAATATTTGTTAACACTTTCGCAGGATGAGGACGCACCCCGGCGTCCTGTTTCGCCTACCCGCTCCAGCATAGTGGACATAAACTTGTGTCCTCTTTTAAAATATTTGTATAAAATTCAATTTTTATCCGATTTACTTTGGGTTTGTTTCAAACTGCGCGCCATGAGGCTCTCTTTCTCACCAATAGGCTGCATGGTACAATAAGTTCATGAAAGGTTCACAAACATAACAAAAGTAAAAACATTTCGTGTGTGTTTGACTCTCACTGATATGTTCCAGCGTTGTTTTATATTTGGCGCTATTCTATCTTACGCTTTGTTGATCTTTTTTACCTACGGGCTCATAGAACATTCTATTGCGAACACATTGACACAAAAATGAATGACGTACATAGAATAATAATGTCATGAGAATGAAATAAGTATAAACTTTCAAAGCGCCGTGCGTCGTCCCGTCACCGACACCGGGTAACAATTTCACCATTTCCCACACTCTTGCGGGCGGGCCGCAATCATTATTCTACGATTATATTCATATCACCGTGTTGGGAATTTCATTGCGAGTCCATTGATACCAAAATTAACGCTGTAGGACAAGTGTGGAGGTGATAACGATCCCAAGAGTAAAAACATTTTGTTGCTGTTGGGCGCTCACGGCGAGTCATCTTCGTAGTTATTTATTTGGTGCTGGTATCCCTATACGTTTCGTGACTTTTCTGGGGGGAGCCCCGTCGGCTCCCCGGAGCTTTACCGGCTGATATGCTAATGTCAGACTTTGGCATCAGTCATGTGTATGGAGTTCTAGGGCCTACCGGGGACCACGAGCCAGAACCTGGCCCCCTCAGAGAGGCAAGGGGAGCAATGGCCTATAGAAACCCCCGTGTGGTTGGAAGCATTCTATGTCTGCCATCGACCGGGTCAAGCATCCAGAAAGGTAAGCATTCCAAAACAAACCCCTATTCTGGTGAAAATTGCTACCTAAGCCGAACTAGTGAATAGAACTCTTCAACAGAAAACACGGAAACTAGTATGACGTCATACGTCACCGCGCCGCTGTCTGCGCAGCTCCCCCCTCCCCGGGAGGGGGAAGGGGGAGCCCCAGACCTCCCACGCCGGCTATCCACCCATCAGTTCTTCGGCTGATGCTATAGGCAATGGTTATGTGCTCCGGCTCCAGTGGTTGTTTCAGCACTGTACCTAGAGTGTGGTGTCTGTTTTCTAGGTGGTGCGTGAGCCGGGTGTGATTCTTCAGTACTCGGGCTGCATGCGCCTAGGGTTCCCTTCCCTAGGTGCCCTGTAAGTACTGCCCTTGGGGCTTGGGGCCACCTTCCACAAGTTCCTTGGGTCCTGCCCATGCTTGGCCGTTTACCGCTTGGTTTTCGGCCGCTCTTTGTGTGCTCGGGTGTTCTGTCTCCCTTGTTCGCCTTAGAGTAAGGGGCAGTGTTTGCACTGGTGGGGCGCGGGGTACTGTGCAGCTTGTCTTTACCAATCATAGCGGCCGGCTCTGTTCCGCTTGGGTACGCTGTCCTCTTGCGGGGTTTTCTTTTTCTTTTGTTTATATACCTGGTGGGGGGTCTGCCTTCGTTCTTGCCCCTTGTGTCCCTTGTGTTCTGAGTATTTCTGGTGGTACCCCCTGCTAGGTCCCCGTGAGTGTACACGTCCCGGGGGTTCAGCTCTTAGAAAGTTGTTTGGTAGCTTGGGTGCCGGTTAGCAGTACCCTGCCTGGGATTACCTGAGCGCGAGTCCTCTTAAAGTAAACGCTCGGGACCCTGGGAAACCCCTGGGGGCGCGCGGGTCCGATGGATGTGACCCCAGAGCCCCCCCCTCGCTTCCAGCGAGTTTGAGGGTTGCTCTCACCTTTTGTCTCTGGGTGACTCTCTGTTTTGCCTCCGTCTGCTGCCTGTGGGGTCGGTGACACCTTCGACCCGGTGTCCTGCGAGTTTGGTTGCTCGTTGTGGCTCGGTTACCCAGTTGTGCTAACAAAGCGGGTGCGGGCAGCAGGGGCGTTGCACTTGAGCCTTGGTGGTGGCAACGTTCTCGTGGTTTCCTCCCCGGGAGCCCCGGGGCTGCCCCGTTGTATTTCGTTTTTCCCCTGGTTCACCCTTCCTGCCTGCATCCGGTTCCTTACCGTCTGTAGGTTCAGGGCGGGGTGTTTGGTGGTGTTGAGACTCGGGCAGTCTCGGGGAATTCCCCTTCCGGGGTAGTGACGGGGGCATTTGGGCCTGTTCCTCCAGCCGTGTTGTATGAGTCTGCCAGTGGGCTCCCTTCCTTAGTGTTTTCACGGCTGCCCCGGTTTTCTGGTACGGCCGGGGCTTTGGGGGAACGGCTCGGCCCCGGGGCCTGTCGTGTAGGTTCCCGGGGCTGGGGAGGGGCTGACTTGGGGGGCCTTGGCCCCGTTAGACCCCGTGGGGGGTTTTATCCCCCTCTAGGCGGGGCTTGTGGTTACGCGGAGTGGGGTTTTTCCTCCCCACTCGCCGTACGTGCTGTTGGACGTCGGCCCCTCCCCGGGCTCGGTTCCTTGGCCTTTGAGTCGGTTGGTTCCGTCCTGTGGGTGGATGTTTCCTCCACCGCTTTTTGGGACGGTGTTTTTGTCATGTTTCCCCGTTCGATGGGGTTCTGCGTGACTTTTGATCTCGGGTGCGCCTGCGCCTTCGTGTGCCTTCGGGACTAGTGTTGGCTTCTGTGTTCTCGAGGGTACGGGAAGGTTTTTCGCTACTTCCCGCATTATTGGAACGTCTGTCGGCTCCTAGTACTTGTCGCCCTGTTGGGCTACTTGTCGCCCTGTTGGGCTACTTGTCGCCCTGTTGGGCTACTTGTCGCCCTGTTGGGCTACTTGTCGCCCTGTTGGGCTACTTGTCGCCCTGTTGGGCTACTTGTCGCCCGGTTGGGCTACTTGTCGCCCGGTTGGGCTACTTGTCGGCCGTTTGGGCTACTTGTCGCCCGTTTGGGTTCCCTTTTTTTGGGCTCTTTGCTTCTTTGGCCGGTTTTCTTGTTCCTGCTTCCTCTTTTGGCTCTTTTTCTCGTGCAATAGTCCTGGCTGGCGCCTTCCCGCAGGGAGGGTGTGCGGTTCGGCCAGCGTGTTATGCGCATGCGCCGTGGAGTTTGTTTTGGTCTGGGCGATGGTTCAGTGCTGGGGTTTTGCGCCCTTTTTTGCTACAGTGCTTCGCCTCTCGTTCTTCTCCCTGGCTGCGGTATGTGCCCCTTTGCGCCAGGGGTGTCCTGGTTCCCAGTTGTGGGGAGGACACCGCGGTTTTCTGTGTCATGGGTGTGGACCGCCTCCTTCGCCTCTCCCTGTTCTCCTGCGGGTCCGGCTCTGGCGTCTTCACCTGGCGGTGCTCCCAAGTTCTTCTGGGCACGGTTGAGTCGTGTCAAGTTCGAGCCACCATTCGCCAGGTGAGTTTCTGCGGTCTGGCGTCTTTTGGCCGGGCGCTGGATGCGGCGGTGTTCATATACCTGTCTTTATTTAGGTATAATTTTGTACGACTGAGACCGTTCGCACACCAGTGACTGTCCCTTTATCACCCCTTCCTGTCCCCCTCCTGTGCATGTCCAACCCATGCTACAGTCGTTCAGGGGACCCTCCTTTTTT